AGAGGAAGGCGTGACGTGAGCTGTGGCTTAATTGGTTATTAATAACTTCTTTGTTAACCAGCCAGCTATAAGGAGGAACAGAAATTTGACTAGCCCGGTGGCGAGCTCAGTCACCGGCAGCCAGAGATCATTCACAATTTCTCCCTACATTTTTTTGTTGCTGTTGGTGGTGCCGGGAGTGGCAGCCCCCCCGGCTGAGTCACGGCGGTGACAGCAGGGTGACAGCACGGTCCCCTCACCTACGCACACGGCGCAGCCTTCTGCGCTGGGTTTTTCTTTTTAATTCCTAGAAAAATAACAGATGCTCTTGTTTGAGGGGGAGATTCTTGGAATCCGTTCAGGCTGAGCCTGGATGTGCCCAAACTCCCGCTTCCCCTCCAGCCCTGCGGGAGCCGCGGAGATCCCCTGCCCATGGGTGGTTCCTCTGCCAGCCCATGCCGAGGGCGAGGAGCCTCCCCCCACGGCAAACACCGACAGCAAACAGCCTCCACACCCAAATCCCGGCCTCCTGCCCGCTTCTTTGGAACTTCCACTTAAAGGAACCCTTTTCATTTGTGTCCCGTGCGAATCAAAGCGGTGCTGGGACGCTCTGCACCTCCGTGCTGCGCTGATAGAATGCAGCACGGGGGGTTTTCCAGCTTCAACTCTCTGGGAATGGCTTCTGAGGACCCACAAGAGCTGGCAGAGCATTCCCAGCTCCCATCAGTGCCAATCTGGGAAATTTTAGCATGGGGACCTGGGCTTCTCCATAGCTCAGCACCAAGGATGGAGATTGCAGGCCAGACACAGTTGCTCATCCCAGGAGTCACCATCAGACATTTCCACAGCAGGATTCAGCAGAAAACATTCCTCCCACAGCTTAGAGCAGAGCCTGGCCTGCATGAGGGTCCCAGAGTTACCCCCAGGCGTGTCAGTGACCACAGCAAGGTCCCAGCACACCACAGGCATGAAGCACACAAGATCTGCTGCCAGCTGGACACCAAGGACCTGCTCCAGGTGGATCTGGACAGCTCCATCCTCTCCTGGTCACACCAGGGAAGACACAGCCACCACACAGAGAGACAGCTCACCTTTTGCTCCTGGTGCATCCCAGGGAACAGCAGGATCTCAGGAGCAGCTCCAAGACACAGCCACAAGAAAGAACACTCCCTTCTCCTCAGTCCAAACCCCAGAAGTGGCCTCCAGGTCCTTTTATAGAGCCCAGGGAGGCAAATAACCTGCAGCTGATGATTAAGCCATTAATGGTTCACACATCTGTAAACGATCCTGGCCTGAGCCCCCAGCCCAGCCCAGGCACTGACAGTGACCTCATCCAGCAGCCCAAAATGGAGTTCTGGGAACTCCCAGGAAGCCCCCACTGTTTGTTCCCCTTGGCTGCTCTGTCTGGGCTCTCCCTGCCCACCAAAACAGGGTTGGCCTTTCCCAGGAGGCCAATCCCAGCCACCATCCAAGGCTGTATCCCTCTTGGAGAGGCTGTTTGGGATGACCCTGTCAGCGATCCTTTCTTGTAGGTTTGGGGTTGAATTCCACACCCGAGGCTTCATGACACCCACTTCTTTTCCAGATCCATTTTTGGGGCCAAAAGCAGAAAGTGAGGTCCCACCAGCAGCCCCCTGCCCTTGGGCTTCTCCCATGAGAGCACAGTCCCAATTCCCAACCTACCTACATCACAGGCAAGCGGGCCCTGCTCTGATTTACCAGCTCAAAAACCCCAATACCAGCCCCAGCCACCCCTGCTGACCCTGAGGAGATGCAGCTCCACGTCTGGAGAGCACCAGCACCTCAAGGAGCTTTTCATGGACCAGAGTGGCAAATTGTCTCTGGGTCTGCTCCTCCTGTAGATGTTTTCCTACAGATCCTGTGGGATAATGTGAGGTCCAGAGGGGTCTGACCCTCTGTCCTCAGCTACACCAGGGTGTAAATGGTGACACAAGTTCCTCAGTGGGGGCTGAGAAGCTGGGTTACACACAAAATCCGGCGCTCAGGAGTCACCGACGTGGCCTCTGCTCTGGGGGGAAAGTGCTGACACTGAGATCCTGTCTGGGGGCCCTGATGTGGCATTTTCTAGCCCAGGATGTCACTTCCTCTCTGCACGGGGCCTCAGTGGGGCTCGAGAGACATCCGGGTCCCCATGGGAAGGGCTGATTCCATCCCTGGGCACACAGGCAGCTGCAGCCTTTATCCTACAGGATTTATCCACAGCTACAGCCTTTATCCTCCAGGATTTATCCACGTTCCCCATCCCGGGCACGAGCCTGAATCCTGGCTGTGCTGCACTCCCAACCCGCAGCACAGCACCGTGTCCTGGGGCAGCATCCATCCCTCTCCCTGCTCCAGGAGCAAAGCCCTGGATCTGCAATAAGCCAGCTCCCATTGCCCAGCCCTGAACCATCCAGGCCCAGCTCAAAGCCCCCCAGGAGGCAAAGCCAGGCTTGAGAAACCCCCTCCATGGGCAGAGCAAGGGATTACTGAGGCAGCGGCCGGAGAGGAGCTGGGGATCCCGGAGTGGTGTCCATTACAAAGCTCCCCAGGCCGCAGAGGAAGGGGAAGAGGCTCCCCTCCCTCCTCTTCCTCCCTCCCTCGTGGGGATTTTGCAGCCAGGTAAACACAGGATGTTGATGAAACAGGGCTGGGCAGATTGGGCAAGCCGGGAGTCAGCAGGAGCTCCAGGCAGCTCCCAAGGCCTGGAATGGCCCTGCAGCCAGGAAAGGGCAATGCCAGAGCCCTGGCACCTTCCTCCACCTGTCCCCAGGGTCACGGAACTCACAGCTCACAGGGAGAGGCAGCGTGGGCTGGTGGCCAAAGCCAGGGCAGGGTGGGATCCCTTGGGTTATCCATGGGATCCCTTGGGATCTCCTCACAGGCTGAGCTCAGTACCGAACCCCAAAGTTCAAGCTTTGACACCCAACCGACAGCAAACATGTGGCACCTCCTGTGTCCCTCTGGACACTGGGGACGTGCAGGGCACAGGGATGAGGGGACACATCCCCCTGGATGCCACCCTGCCGGGCATCGGCTCACGTCTGGCACAGCGACTTGGGATGGGCACCTGGGGACCAGCTGAATGCTGCAGCGTTTGGCTCCCAACCCAGAAAAGGGGCACAGCCCAGCCTGTCCTGGGGTGCAGGCGCTGCTGTCACCCCCACCGTGACCACCTGTGCTCAGGCAGCAGCCAGGGACAGCGAGCCACGAGCGGGCCACCAGCGAGCGGAAGGGACCTGGACCTGCCCGGGGAGGGGTTGTGATGTGACAGAGATGTCAAAGGGGCTGCCTGCCTCACCAGAGCCGGAGTGGAGGGGCAGGTGGCGCTGTCCCCAGTGTCACCAGTGTCCCCAGTGTCCCTTGGGGCACTGCTGCCATCTGCTGGCATGATCCCATCCTGCTCCGGTCCTGAGCCTGGCCTGGGGACCCTGTGTGACTCCACTGTCCTGTGCCCCCTCCCAGGCACGGCGGGACCACCTGTGGCTCCAGCCCGGACACCCCAAGGTGTCCCCAAAGCCTCCGTGCTACCCCCGGAATCCAAACCCCAAAACTGCTCCCGGTGTCCCCGTGGCACAGCTGATTGTCACCCCCATAACCCACTCCTGGGCTGCAGGATTCTCCCACACCGACCCCTTCCCAGACACCCTCCCTGCCGTCCTGTTCTCCGTGTGGGGTGGCCTGGAGTGGCCTCTGCATCATCCATTCGGGCTGATGGAGCAGGGACAGGATCAGGCCCTTGGCCACAGCAGAGGGGGAGCAGCTCTGCTGGGCTGCTTTCCCCAGGAAACATCCAGCTCCATCCTCCCCAAGGCTGCTGAGGGGCAGAGGAAGCTCATCCCAAGATGATTTCCTGCTGCATTCCCATCCCCTGGGTCTCTCTGGGATGTGGGGATTTGCTGAGTCCCCTCCTCCCTGTGGCAGCCGAGCACATTGGGAGCCTCTTCCCACGGCCTCCCTGACCCTGCTGGCCTTCCCAGCACCTCCGTGTCCCCTGGGAGCAGCACATCCCAGGACAACCATTGGGGACACCCAGTGACACCCTGCACATCCCTCTCTGCTTCCACTGGCACTGGAAGTGGCCTCAATGGGGTGCTAGAGGGCGTTTGCTTTTCGGATGCAGTCGGGAGCTGGGAATAAGGTTTGGGAGAGGTGAATCTCTGAGCCCGTGTCCCCGCAGTGGCCCTACAAGCACCATGGCTCATCCCACCCCGGGCAGATGGCAGCAGCTCCTGCTCCTCGCTGGAAAATGCCCAAACCCTCGGGCAGGGACTGCGCCGCAGCTGTCCCTGCTTTGATTCCTCGCAGCAAAGCCAGGCAGTGTCTGGCGGATTTTCCATGCCCCAGCCCACACACAGGAAGGCTGAACAGCTCCGGAGACCTTCCCGCTGGGAATGATCCCCGGCGTGCGAGCCCTGCAGACTCCGTGCCTGACGCCCACGGGAGCAGCGGGAAGTTTTAGCGCTCAGTTTTAGTCTAAAAGGGATTTTTATTCCCTGAGCCCTGCAGAGGAAAACTGGGAAAAACCAACCCGCTCAAGGGGCCACAGCCCAAAGAGGCAATATCAGTTGTGCTGAAGCTCGCTGTTCAGAGCCGAGCCACGGAGGGTTCGCTGTGAATTCCAAGGAAACCAGGTGTGTGCATCCACCCACCTCCCTCCGCCTCCGCCATTCCCACCCGCCGCCGTTCTCCTGCTTCTGGAACAACCATTCAAACCAAGCCCCTCAAGCAGAGACTCCCCCAGCAGCGCTCTCCCAAAACCCTCAGCCCGTGCCCAGCCGATCACCATCCCGTTCCCACCCAAACCCCGGCCGCTGCCCTCCACTCACCGCGGGGGAAACGCCAAATCCTTCTGCCATCCTTGGGCACATGGATCCCCTGGCACGCGGGTGGGCTGGCACGGCTCCCCCCGCCTCCGCCGCACATCTGGGCAGCTGTGGCCGCGGCAGGGCCCGCGCCGTGCCCCGGCAGCGCTGACATCAGCGCGGTTTCCTGCCCGCCGCCGCCGCACCGTGCGCGCAGCCCCGAGCCCAGAGCGGGCCCCGGGACCCCTCCCGCGGACCCCCATGGAGTCGGTGGCCTTGTACAGCTTCCAGGCGACGGAGGAGGACGAGCTGCCCTTCCACAAAGGGGACACGCTGAAGGTACAGGGGACACTCGCCAGCCGCGGGGGTTGGATGGTGTTGCTTTTGCGGGGACGGAGTGGGCCCATGGTGACACCGGTGCTTTCTGTGTCCCTGACTTGAATGCTTCTGGGGCTTTCTGTGGGATACAAGGAGCCGGCCTCGAGGATTTGGGAGTGTGGAGTAGCATTCCCTGCTTGCCTGTGCCACCAGGCACAACTTCGGAGAAGGACACCCCAGCTAGGACGTGGCATGTGGCTTCCGTGGCTGTCAGTGCCCACCTCGGGGCTGGGACACTTTTCCCTGTCCGGGAGGTACTGGAGGTCACAGGGGGACACGTTTTCCCTTTCCGGGAGGCACTGGAGGTCACAGGGATCCAGCAGCGGGGACCATGTGCCCAAACACCCACCCAGGCACTGGCATTGGGGTGGGCTCTTAGATGCCACCTGGGAATCCCAAAAAAAGCTCCAGGGGGGCATCCCTGGGGAGCAGCAGCCCTGCGATGGGAGTGAAAGCCCCCCCTCCCTGCCCATGTGCTCATCCCTCTCGGGCTCCTCCCGGACCCCTGGCACCCTGCAGCCCCCCGGGGGGCACAGGGGCATATCCCGGCTGGATCCCAGAGCCCCAAACCCGCCGTGCCGTCCCTGCCTCCCGGCATGTTTTCCCCGTGCCCTGACCCGGGGTTTCGGATCCTGTTTTCACAGCTGTGCCGGCCCCGGGCCCCTGCGGGGGAGGCTGGAAAATGTTGTCACACGGAAGCGGTGTCAGCACCCACTGCCACCCTCCCGGGGGACACGGGGGCCTGGCTCACGTCCTGGCTGCTCCAGGACAGATCCCACCCTCTCCCCCGGGCAGGGCTTTGGGACAACACCGGGCACCTTCCGGCTCTGTGACCCCAAACCCCCAGGGTGTGCCAGCACTGCCAGAGCCCCCTTTCCCCCCGGGGATGGTTGGGGGGTGTTGAGGGGTCTGGAGCAGCAATGGGGTCGCACTCAGCCCCTCTCCCAGGGGAATGGCAGCCAGGCTGATGCCTCCCTGCTCTTCTCCCACCTCAGATCCTCAACATGGAGGATGACCAGAACTGGTACAAGGCTGAGCTGTTCGGCCGCGAGGGTTTTGTCCCCAAAAACTACATCAAGGTCAAGCCACACCCGTAAGTACCATCCCACCAGGCAGGCAACAGTCCCAATTTCCAAAGGTCTGCCGTGAGCCAGGGTAGTCCCACACGTGGGGAAACTGAGTCACAGAGATAGAGGGGGTCAGTCTGCCAGTGCCACCACAGCCTGAGGGGACAGGAGGCAGCAGCACACCCACGTACCCCCAAAAATCCAACCCTCACACCGAGCTGCCACTAAATAAATGATAATTGGGGAACAACAAAACGTTATGGGATTATGACTGCATTAAACACAATCCTATTACCACGTTATTTAAGCCCAGCCTAATCCATCGCTGATTGAACCTGTGTTTTATATATCCTTAGCCCCTGGTAAATCACATTTAAATGCCAGAGCGAGCGCGTGGGCTCGGGGCAGCCCGGGGCACATCCCACTGCTTCTCCAGCTTGGGATAACAACCGGGATGGGCGAGACACAGCCTCCCATGCACACCTGGAGGGCTGGCTCTCTGCTGAGCTCCGTGCCTGATCATTTTTACAGCAGCAATCTTCCCAGCCCTGGGACCTGAAATATTCTCCAGCTTGGGATAACAACCGGGATGGGCGAGACACAGCCTCCCATGCACACCTGGAGGGCTGGCTCTCTGCTGAGCTCCGTGCCTGATCATTTTTACAGCAGCAATCTTCCCAGCCCTGGGACCTGAAATACCCGGGCACAGGGGTGGGACACGGGGACTCTGCTCCTGCAGCTCCTTTGGGAGCTGCATCAGGAGGGGTTTATCCTGGCACCGAGGGGTTTCTGCTCTGCACCTGGAAGGGCTGTTCCCACCAGGGGCCAAGGGACGCGGAGGAGGGGACAGGCAGCAAAGCGGGGTGACAGCCCAGGTGACAGGATGCGGATGCGGCTGTCGGTGACGAGGGGGGGCAGCGCGCCCACATCACCCTGCGGTGCCCCCCGAAAATTCCGGGATGAACCAAGAGGGGGAGGGGAGGGAGAAACTGCCGGGGGAGGGTCGCAACCCCGTGAGGAGCCCGATGCCGACCCCTCTCCCGGGAATCTCGGTGCCTCCATCCCTCGGGCTGCGGATGCGGCTCCGGGGTGTCCCCGTGTGCCCGGGGGTGCCCGCCTGGCTCAGCCCGGTGCCCCTCGCAGGTGGTACGCGGGCAGGATCTCCCGGCACCTGGCAGAGGAGCGGCTGCTCCAGCGCAATCACCTGGGAGCCTTCCTGATCCGCGACAGCGAGAGCGCCCCGGGCGAGTTCTCCCTCTCCGTCAGGTAAGTGCCCTGGGGACAAGCGGCAGGAGGGGAAGGGTCCCTGCAGCCCCCGCTTTGGGGCCGCCCTCGTGTGTGCTGGGGGAGGGCTGAGCATCCTGCCCTGTGCTGGCCACCTCGGAGGGGCTGCGGAGCCGGGTCCCAACACATCCAGCACGGCCTCGCAAGGACCTTCCCCTCCTTCCTCTCCTCCACAGCTCCGCCTCCATCCCCGCTGCTTCCTGCTGCCTGCACCGCTCCCCTCGCAGGGACACCCCTAAACACAGCCCCGTGGGTGATGGCGGGGCTGGGGCCGAGCTGCAGCTCCTCCCGGGGACACGGCCAGGGGAGCAAAGCCGGGAGCATCCCTAGGGATGCAGGGCTCATAATCCCCAGGGGTGAAAGGCTCAGCATCCCCAGGGAGGCAGGGCTCAGCATCCCAGGGATGAAAGGCTCACATCCCAGGGGTGCAGGGCTCAGCATCCCCAGGCGGATCCTGTTTTCACAGCTGTGCCGGCCCCGGGCCCCTGCGGGGGAGGCTGGAAAATGTTGTCACACGGAAGCGGTGTCAGCACCCACTGCCACCCTCCCGGGGGACGCGGGGGCCTGGCTCACGTCCTGGCTGCTCCAGGACAGATCCCACCCTCTCCCCCGGGCAGGGCTTTGGGACAACACCGGGCACCTTCCGGCTCTGTGACCCCAAAACCCAGAGTGTGCCAGCACTGCCAGAGCCCCCTTTCCCCCCGGGGATGGTTGGGGGGTGTTGAGGGGTCTGGAGCAGCAATGGGGTCGCACTCAGCCCCACTCCCAGGGGAATGGCAGCCAGGCTGATGCCTCCCTGCTCTTCTCCCACCTCAGATCCTCAACATGGAGGATGACCAGAACTGGTACAAGGCTGAGCTGTTCGGCCGCGAGGGTTTTGTCCCCAAAAACTACATCAAGGTCAAGCCACACCCGTAAGTACCATCCCACCAGGCAGGCAACAGTCCCAATTTCCAAAGGTCTGCCGTGAGCCAGGGTAGTCCCACACGTGGGGAAACTGAGTCACAGAGATAGAGGGGGTCAGTCTGCCAGTGCCACCACAGCCTGAGGGGACAGGAGGCAGCAGCACACCCACGTACCCCCAAAAATCCAACCCTCACACCGAGCTGCCACTAAATAAATGATAATTGGGGAACAACAAAACGTTATGGGATTATGACTGCATTAAACACAATCCTATTACCACGTTATTTAAGCCCAGCCTAATCCATCGCTGATTGAACCTGTGTTTTATATATCCTTAGCCCCTGGTAAATCACATTTAAATGCCAGAGCGAGCGCGTGGGCTCGGGGCAGCCCGGGGCACATCCCACTGCTTCTCCAGCTTGGGATAACAACCGGGATGGGCGAGACACAGCCTCCCATGCACACCTGGAGGGCTGGCTCTCTGCTGAGCTTTTTTACAGCAGCAGAGAATCTTCCCAGCCCTGGGACCTGAAATACCCGGGCACAGGGGTGGGACACGGGGACTCTGCTCCTGCAGCTCCTTTGGGAGCTGCATCAGGAGGGGTTTATCCTGGCACCGAGGGGTTTCTGCTCTGCACCTGGAAGGGCTGTTCCCACCAGGGGCCAAGGGACGCGGAGGAGGGGACAGGCAGCAAAGCGGGGTGACAGCCCAGGTGACAGGATGCGGATGCGGCTGTCGGTGACGAGGGGGGGCAGCGCGCCCACATCACCCTGCGGTGCCCCCCGAAAATTCCGGGATGAACCAAGAGGGGGAGGGGAGGGAGAAACTGCCGGGGGAGGGTCGCAGCCCCGTGAGGAGCCCGATGCCGACCCCTCTCCCGGGAATCTCGGTGCCTCCATCCCTCGGGCTGCGGATGCGGCTCCGGGGTGTCCCCGTGTGCCCGGGGGTGCCCGCCTGGCTCAGCCCGGTGCCCCTCGCAGGTGGTACGCGGGCAGGATCTCCCGGCACCTGGCAGAGGAGCGGCTGCTCCAGCGCAATCACCTGGGAGCCTTCCTGATCCGCGACAGCGAGAGCGCCCCGGGCGAGTTCTCCCTCTCCGTCAGGTAAGTGCCCTGGGGACAAGCGGCAGGAGGGGAAGGGTCCCTGCAGCCCCCGCTTTGGGGCCGCCCTCGTGTGTGCTGGGGGAGGGCTGAGCATCCTGCCCTGTGCTGGCCACCTCGGAGGGGCTGCGGAGCCGGGTCCCAACACATCCAGCACGGCCTCGCAAGGACCTTCCCCTCCTTCCTCTCCTCCACAGCTCCGCCTCCATCCCCGCTGCTTCCTGCTGCCTGCACCGCTCCCCTCGCAGGGACACCCCTAAACACAGCCCCGTGGGTGATGGCGGGGCTGGGGCCGAGCTGCAGCTCCTCCCGGGGACACGGCCAGGGGAGCAAAGCCGGGAGCATCCCTAGGGATGCAGGGCTCATAATCCCCAGGGGTGAAAGGCTCAGCATCCCCAGGGAGGCAGGGCTCAGCATCCCAGGGATGAAAGGCTCACATCCCAGGGGTGCAGGGCTCAGCATCCCCAGGGATGAAAGGCTCACATCCCAGGGGTGCAGGGCTCAGCATCCCCAGGACTTCGGGCAGAGCCTGTCTCCGGGGATCTCACCCCTGCCCTGCCCCGGTCTGGGGAGCAGGGGGCGGCCCCAAGCCAGCCAGGCACTTTCTCACACTTTCAATCCCTAATTGAACGTTTCGGGAGGTCCTTGCCCCTAATGAAAGGGAGCCGTGCTCTGCCGCGTCACCGGCAGCACAGCCGGGTCCCGCCCCTGCCCGGGGCACCCCAGGCACGCCCTGCGAGGTGACAGCAAGGGACATCCTGCCTGCCCCGTCTTCCTGCAGCACAGGGGTCCTCAGGAGCACAATCCCAGCCTCTGCAGCCTCCTGGCTTGTGCCCAGACCTGCTGCTCTCATCATGCCTTCCCCAGATGTGGCCCTTGGCAAAGCCACCTGCCCTCCACGCTGCCACCCCTGAGCTCCCGCTGTGCCAGGGCTGGGCACCAGCTTTGGCTGCCTGTGGGGTGAGTTGCAGCAGGGCTCAGCTGTGGGTCCTCATTGCAGGGCCAGGAATGACCCCAGTGCCACCATCACCCCCACTATGGCCAGAGGGGTGCAGTGAGACCCATGGGCTCACCCCGACCTTGCCAGCACCCCCAGGGTTTACCCACCTTAGGGGATGCTGCCAGGATGTCCCCAGGGTGCCATCAATCCATCCATCCATCCATCCATCCATCCATCCATCCATCCATCCATCCATCCATCCATCCATCCATCCTCCTTCTGCAGCTACGGGAAGCACGTCCAGCACTTCAAGGTGCTCAGGGAGAGGAACGGCAAATATTTCCTCTGGGAGGAAAAGTTCAACTCCCTCAACGAGCTGGTGGATTTCTACAGGATGACCACGATCGCCAAAGAGCAGCAGATTTTCCTGTGGGATGAGGACCAGGCCCAGGAGGTACCACCATGGATGGGGCTGTGGGTCCCAGACCCCTGCGTGGGCCCCCTCGAGGCTCAGGGTCCCTGCAGAGAGACAGGGACATCCCTGCCTGGCACTCACCCTTTGGCTCAGGGGGGTGAGGAGCAGGAGAGGGTGCAGCAGCCTGAGACAGGCGGTGCTGCAGGGAGGAAGAGCTCCTGGAGCAGCTCAGGGGGCAGGACAGGGCAGGGCACACATCCCTGTCCCTCAGGCCAGGGGTGATGCCCAGGGCAGGTGGCAGAGCCAGGACAGGGCACGGCCAAACTCCAGCAAAGCCAAGCCCTGGGGCAGTGGTTGTGAAGGTGGCAAAACTGGGCTTTGGGAGCTGGGATGGGGAAGGCTCCAGCACCTGGAAGGACCTGAGGAGGAGAGAGTGCCAGCTGCCTCCCTGGACACCCATCATGGGTGTCCCAGCAGCAAGCACAGGGAGTCTTGTGCCCTGGGGTGTTCCCCTGCACCTGGGGATCTCCCCAGCAATCCACTCTTCCCTTTCCTTGCTTCTGTCTCTCCAAAGCAGACATCCCAAGGCTCGTCCACATCCCGTGGTGGCACCGCATCCCCATCAGGACCCAGGCCAGGGGCTGGCAGATGGGGACCCCTCTCCTCCCACCAACCCCAGCCCTCAGCTTCCCTGCCGGTGAAGAGACCCCGATTTGTGCAAGCCCAGTTCGACTTCTCAGCCCAGGAGGGCTCCCAGCTGCCCTTCCTCCGTGGGGACATCATTGAGGTCCTGGGCTGCCCCGACCCCAACTGGTGGCAGGGGAAGATCTACGGCCGTGTCGGGCTCTTCCCACGGAGCTACGTCCACCCCATCCACAAGTGACCTTCAAGTGACCATCCACAAGTGATTTTTGAGTGACCATCCACAGGTGACCTTTGAGTGACCGTCCACAGGTGATCTTCGAGTGACCATCCACAGGTGATCTTCAAGTGACCATCCACAAGTGACCATCCACAAGTGACTTTTGAGTGACCATATCCACAGGTTACCTTCAAGTGACGATCCACAAGTGACTTTTGAGTGACCGTCCACAGGTGATCTTCAAGTGACCATCCACAAGTGACCATCCACAAGTGACTTTTGAGTGACCATCCACAGGTGACCTTCGAGTGACCATCCACAAGTGACTTTGACTTTGAGTGACCATCCACAGGTGACCCTCACCACGCTGCCGCTGCCCGGGCAGGACCCGGCCCCGTTGTCCCCCCTCACCAGAGCTGCCCACTCAGCCTGAGTGTCCCTTTGTCCCCAGGATGGTGCCTGGTCCTTGTCCCCCTGGTCCGTGACCCCCAGCCCAGGGATGGGGCAGGCAGCACTGCCAGTGTGGAGTGTGCAAGCACGGCCATAAAAACTTTCCCAGAGGCACAATCCAATGGGGATGACAGCAACAGAGGGAGTGATCCCAAACCCCCAAACCCTGAATCCTCTCCCAACCCTGAATCCTCCCCAAACCCTGAATCCTCTCCAAACCCTGTAAGCAAAGCCCCAGCTCCAGGGAGGGCTGCAGGCAGCCAGGACACAACCAGAACCCACAACTCCACAGAGGAATTCCAGGACTCAGGGTACCAGGGAAGGCTGATCCACAGGGATTCCATCCTGTGGGAGCTGTTCATAGCTGTGAATTGTGCTGCTTTTTTATATTATTTTTATTTAGGGCCAGTAAAATGTGTTTGGGTGTTGCCCCTGAGAGTGGCTGCTCCTTTTCCAGCACTGCCAGGGTGATCCCATTCCATTCATGCAGATGCTGCTTCACTGCAGTTTTACTTCCTTGTCGCCCCCATTTCCCCACCCCGATGCCTGTCCCAAACCCCCCCAAGGGATTTTCTGCCCCAACAAATGCCCCTCACACCTCACATCTCCTGGGATGCACTCAGGGAATGCAGTGCTCAGAACACCCAAATCACTGCACCAGTGGATTTAAACATCACGTCCCAAACAAATAAAAAACACCCCCCAAATCCTCATTTTTCCCCTCTCCAAGCACTTCTTCCCCATGCCAGGGGTCTGTCAGGGTGCTGGGCAAAACAGGCATAACAGGAAATATTGACACACATCAGGACAAAGGTGTTGATGCCACAGACACGGGCCCAGAACGGGGGTCCTGTGGTGTCCCCAAGTGCCACAGCTGGGGTCCCGTGGCCTTGGGTGGCTGTGGGTGTCCAGGCTGGCACAGAAACATGCTGAGTGTAGGGCACAGATGACCCTGGGGACAGCCACCTCCTGGAGCTCAAACCCCCAGATCTGGGAACTTGGAGCTCTTTGCCACACCACACTCAAAGCCCTTTTCTCAGGGCTGGAACGAGATGATCTTTAAGGAACCTTCCAGCCCAGACCGTGGTCCCAGGATGTGGCATCCCCTCCCTGCTGGGTGTGGGGGCAGTTGGGACCCCCTGACAGCTACTCAGAACCCGACCCACGCTGAGGAAAACCTCTAACTTGCAGCTCACAGAGCTTTCCTCCCTCTGCCAAGCACATTTCCTTGGCTCTGTCCCTACGATCCGCAGCGTCCTGCTCGCACGGATCTGGGGAAGCTGCCCGGGATCCACCGCAGCAGCGGCTCCCGCCCCGGGCGGGCAAAGCCCTTCGCAAACATTCATTATCCATCCCGGGGAGAGCTCTCCTCCCTTGTCACGCCCTTGTCACCTCCCTGGCACAGCCAAGCCAGTGCCAGGGAGGGGCTAAGCAGGCTCTGGGACAAGCGCCCCTCTTCTCGAGGGGGACAATAAGGGACCCCCGGCATCGCCGCCCATCCCCTTCGCCCTCTGCACATGGAAATGCCAAGAACCAGCCGCTGCTGCGGCCGCTGGTCCGGCCAAGCCTCCGCACAGCGCGGCCGAAGCCCTGACCCAGATTCGCTCCCTGTTATTGTGTCCCGGGCCGGTGGCACCGAGCCGGGCACTCCCCGAGCGCGGCTCCGCGGGCACCGCCGGGGGCAACGGAGATGTGGGACAGCCCTGTGCCACCGTCCTGTGCCACCACCCTCTGACACTGCCCTCTGCCACCCCCGTGTGTGACCGGACCCGGCTGGAGGTCACCGGGAGAGGCTGCACCGAGCGCCCCGTCTGCGCTGCCAGCGCTTCCATCCATAAAAGAATCCAAGGGTTTGTGCTCCTTACATAAGCCAGGCTGAGTGGAGGCGCTTTGCAGGCTCGACCGGCCCCACGGGTCTCCCCGAAAGGCCCGGTCAGCGCCTGCCCACGAGGGGCAGCTCCCTCCAGGTGCCCAGGGAGGGGAGGTGCTGCTGCTGGTGGAGAGGGAGCTCAGGGATGACAGGAGCGCTGCCTTCATCAGACCCCGCAGCCCTGCGGGAGAGAGGGAGCGGCTGAACCGGGAGGGATGGGACAGGGTAACCCCAGGATGGTGCCTACCCCTCTGCAGCCACACGCTGGGATCTCCCCTGGGGTGAGGATGGAGTTTGAGATCATTCAGCTGCACCCCGGGGCCTCACATCCCCTGAGCTCACTGCTGGTGCGACCCTCGGGGGGGGCTGCACGGGCTGTGCCATGCACAGACCCTCCCACACCATCTGTGAGTACCCCCAAACACAGACCCTCCCACCCCACCCCTGGGGTCCCCACGAACACAGACCCTCCCACACCATCTGTGAGTACCCCCAAACACAGACCCTCCCACACCATCCCTGGGGTCCCCCTGAACACAGACCCTCCCACACCATCCCTGGGGTCCCCCCCAACATCCAAGCCCTGGCAGCAGCCCCGGGGTGCAGCAATCCCGGTGGGAACGGGGTCACCCCCTGGCACCCACCTACCAGATCGATCACCAGCGTGGGGCAGGTGATGTTGGAGCAGCCCCACACCCACAGGTGCTCTCCTCAGGGTCCACACAGGCCACGGAGTCTGGGGGACAGAGCAGAGTGACATGTTGAGACCCTGAGAGGGTGGGGGCCAGCCCTGCACCCCTTCACCCCCTCTTGCCCCCTTTGCCATGGCCACCATGCCCAGACCTTGGCAGGACACCGGGTGGAGGAGCAAGGAGCACATCCCACCTCAGAGGTGAAAATCCACCTGTGCCTCGCCCGCCCCGCTCCCACCCTCAGCTCCAACACTGCAGGAGCCATCCCACCCCTCAGCTCCTGCTGCCCACCTGCAGGTTGGATCTATTCCCAGTTAAATCCAGTGGCAGCTGCCCCGGGGGGATCTCCAGAGCCCCACCAGGACCCGGGGGCTACGGCCAGAGGCAGCAGAGCCCCGGGGCAGGCACTGCCCATCCCCACCCACGGGGCCAGCCGGGTTCCTGCACCCTTGTGGCAATTTCCTGGGCATGGGCAGCACCAGCAGCTCCTGGGATTTGCGTGGCAGCGCTCCAGGACCATCAACACCCAATTATTTCTATGTCTCAATGAGCACTGAACCCTTTTTTTTTTTTAATTGTTATGCTCGTAAAATATTGAAATGAATGGAAATTAATGTCAGGCATAAATATGGATGGGCTGCCTGGCTCTCAGGGCTGCACCCGCCCAGGCAGGAGCACGGGGACGAGCACGGGTGATCCCTGCACGGCACTGGCCTGGTTCTCCTGCCTGGTGACCTCCACCAGCACAGCCCTCAGCCTCCCAGCTGGTCCCAAACACCACTGGTGACACCTTGGGACTTTCCACAAAGCAGCGTGGGGTGCGCTGGGAGCACGACTCGGTTGTGGGCAGACCACAGGCCGTGCTCAGCACATCCCAAGGATGCCAAAAAGCCCAGCCTGGACTCAGCCCTGGGGTCAGAGTCAGCGCTGAGGCTCCAGTGACTCCTTCCTGCAGCAGCCCTGAGCAAAGCTGCCATCGGCGCTCCCTGCCTCAGTTTCCCCTCTCTAAAACACCACGTTGTGCACGGCTCCATGCAAATCGTTGGTGGCTGGAGGGTGGAAAAGGTTCCAAAGGGCAAGGCAGTGTCTGGATGTTGTATTCCAGCTGAAGTGCCTGCCCCAGGCCTCAGCTCTACCACTGAACACTTGGTGGCACCTCGGAGTGAGTGGGAAGCAGGAGCCCCTGAGCCAGGAGCAGAGCTCAGTGTCACACCACACTGCCTCACTTTTAGACCCTCTGCTAAAAATGGAAAATTAGTTAGGACCTTGTAATTAATGCTTCCATCTGCAGGAAGGGGCCGTGTCTGCAGCGGGTGCTGCCTGTCCAGCTGGATCCACCCGGGGACGCCTGGAATGATGAGCACCAACCTGCTCAGCCACAGCAGCCCAAGCCTGCAAACAGGGGCTGCACCCAATTCACGGCCTAAATTCACCTTGTGGGGTGAAGAAACCCCCGGCATGGGGAGATGGGGACCCAGGTGGGAATCAGGTGGTGATGCTGCAGGTGTGGGGCTCTGCCACCCCAATCCACCCCCAGCAGCAGAGCCAGCACACAGCACACGGTGGCTGGGGTGCAGCATTTACCCCACATGCAATAAATCATTAATGCACACACCCCGTGAAAGAGTCTGTAAATCTCCTGGCACAATAAAAACACCTGGAGCGAGCGGCTGAGGCGGCCAAAACCACAACACGCTCCTGCCACGCCACACACCCACTCCAGAACCCATCTGGGCCATCTCCCTTCGCACCCAAAGAGGTCCTGGCTGCTGGCTCAGTGCTCACCTCTGTCCCATTTGCTGTCCCCAGCTCTGGGATTTCACCTAAAACACCCAGGTTTGGTTCCAGCTCCTTCAGTCACTGAGAGGCCACAGCGTGGGGATGTCATCCCAGCCCTGGGAAATCCCTGCAGGGTCAGCCATGAAGTCACCAGCTCCACCTGGAACCCTCCTGAGCTGATCTTCTTTGGGAGCCAAACACCTGGACCTTCCCCAAGCTGATGTGACACTTGGGGACATGGTGCAGTGTTGGAGCTGGCAGTGCTGGGTTGGACTGGGTGATCCTTTCCAACCTCAGCGATTCCATGATCCCAACAAACTGCCGTCACATTCCTGTGTCCCCCAACCCTGCTGCCACCTCCTGCAGGGGCCAGGCCAGCGCTGGGCACAAGGCCACACATGATTTGTCACTGTGGGGTGAGCAGGGCCCCTGTGCCTGCAGAGAGGAGCGCTTTGATGGCCGAGCACCCGGCCAGACAGGCGGCTTTGCCCCGGGAGCCTGACTCAGGCAGGGCCCTCATTTATCCGGCTGTGAATCCAGATGAGCCACACCAACGCCAGGGACAGACACACAGCCCGTGGCACTTCCCTTTTTTGCATTGGCGCAAGAATCTGACCCCGATTCCTGAAATTCGTCTTCAGCTGAGCTTCCAAGAGAAAAGCTCAGGAGAGCTTGCACATTTCTGTGAGCGCCAACTGGTGAATCCAGGGTGGGGTTTTTTGTCCATCTCACAGTTATTAATGAAATCTGTCAGATCTGGTGACGTTACTGTGACCACGCTGCAAACCCTGCAGAAGAAGGGACAGGACAGGACAGGACAGGACATGACAGGACAGAATAGAATAAATAAATGGTTTTGTTTGGAAGAGCCCTACAACAATCATCAGGTCCCACTGCCTGACCAATTGAGGGCTGACCAAAAAAATTAAGGGCATTGTCCAAATGCCTCTTAAACACTGACAGGTTTGAGGCCTTGACCACCACCTCTCTAAGAAGCCTGTTCCAGGATTGGAACATCCTCTCCACAAAGAAATGCTTCCCAAAATCCAGTCTAGACCTGCCTCAGTGCAGCTTTGAAGCGTTCTGGCAACTCCCACTCAGGTGCTGCCCACCCGGGCTCTGAGCTCGTGCTCCAGCACAGGAGGGGTTAACCACAGGGACAGAGCTCTTTTCCTGCAAAAAATATTGACTTACCAGCCGGCACATCGGGAGAGGGGGGAATCTCAGAGGAGAGATTAAAAAAAAAAAAAAAGAAATAAAAAAATTAAAAAAAAAATAAAAAGAAAAAGAAAATAAAAGACAGACAAAACACCCAAAGCCCACCGGAGCCCCCAGGACCCTCCCGCACCCGCAGCTCCGGGGGGCTCCGCGCTCGGCTCCGCAGGTGCGAGGGCTCATCAGCCGAAAGAGTTAATCGGGCTGGGCAGGGAATGTGTGAAGGCAGCATGTGACTGCAGGTGGGGCAGGGCGGAGGGATGAATCACTCTTTTCCTTTTCCTCTTTTCACTTCTTGCTGTTACCTGTCCGGGCCCGGCAGTGCGCGCTGGCACAGCCCGAGCCCTGCGCTGCCGGGGCGATGCGCAGGAGGCTGGGGCACAGCTCCGGGCTGCCCCGCTCCTCCGGGAACCAGGCACAGCACCCCGGCCGAGACACCCTGCTCCTCGCTGCCCTGCCTTAAGCCGTTTTCCTCTTTGTTTCTTCCCCAGTTTTTTTATTTCGTGCGGTGTTAGCGCTGCCTTGGGAGAGCGGAGGATGAGGAGAGAGCGGACGCGGGGGTGAAGGACCTTCCCGGTGCCGTAGGTACACCTGGGGCTGTCTGCCCCGCCACGCAGCCCCGGCTGGGGGAAGCTCCGCGTTTTCCTTGCCCGGAGCCCGGAGCAAGGCAGAAAGCAAAGCCTCTCCCCGGCAGGAAGAGCTCCGGCGTGGCAGGAGCCGTTGGAAAAGGGAGCGGTGCCTTCCCCGAGCTGCGCCTTGAGCCGGGGAGGGTGAAGCGAACTGTGTATTTAAAGACTGGAGAATAATTAATTCCTATTTATTGCCGACATCCGGCGCTCGCTGGGGGCACAGAGCTCCCTCGGGAGAGGGGACCGGCGTGCGGGGTCACCATGGCTTTCTCCCAGGTGCAGTGCTTGGACGACAGCCACGTCAACTGGAGGTCCAGCGAGTCCAAGCCCGAGTTCTTCTACAGCGAGGAGCAACGCCTGGCCCTTGAGGCGCTGGCCTCCCGTGGCCCCGACGCCTTCTATGAAGTCCTGAAGAGGGAGAACATCAGGGACTTCCTGTCCGAGCTGGAGCTGAAGAAGATCCTGGACACGCTGGAGACGTACGACCCCGGCTCCGAGTACATCCCGCGGCACGGCAGCGGCGGCGGCGACAGCGAGGGCGACAGGAACAGCCAAGGGGACGAGCAGGACGTGGCCCCTTCCCTGGAGTACTGGCCCCAGAGGTCGGACCGCTCCATCCCGCAGCTGGACCTGGGCTGGCCCGAGACCATCGCCTACCGCGGGGTCACCAGGGCCACCGTGTACATGCAGCCGCCCATCGAGGGCCAGGCGCACATCAAGGAGGTGGTGAGGAAGATGATCTGCCAGGCTCAGAAGGTGAGGTGCGCCGCGGGGACACGGGGCAGGATTGGCCCCAGGGCGTCGTGCTCCAAGTGCTGCCCAGCCGGGCAATCCCTGTCCTGCGGGGAGCTCTGCCCGAGCACAGGCAGCGGGGCCAAGCCTGCGGGGTTTGCCTCCTTACCGATATCTGGGGCTTTGCTGAGGATGCTGCTGGCCGGGTTCAGCACTCCTGGGAGCAGCACAGACCATCCCAATGTCCACACAGCAGCACTGCTCATCCCAGGGTCCCTGCGGGGCTCTGGGGAAAACTGCTGGGGAGAAAAACGGGTTGAGCTGTTCTCCAGCTGGGAGGCCATGGTCCCAGCCATCCACAATCGTTATTCCCGGTGTGACAGCTTGTGACAGCATGCAGGAACATGGGATTGTGCTCCGGTTTCAGGCCCTGGGTCCAGCAGCTGTCCAGTACTGACCCTGGGGTCATGGCCCTTGTGTCCCCCACCCACCCAGTCCATGACCCTGGGGTAAAGTAGCCGAAGCTCCTGGTCTAGCTCTGACCCACACGAGGGCCAAGTTTGGCCCGAGAGAGCTTTGGGGCTCCAAGCTGGCTCATCCTGGCGCTCAGAGGACAAGGATGAGCTGGTGAGGGCAGGGACAAGGCTGGGCAGACGCTGAAGGGATTTGGGTTCAGACTTGTCCTCCCTGTGGCACCAAGCCGAGGAGCAGGGAGTGGGGATGCGTGAGCCATCACCCAGGGAAGGAGGGAGACGCTGGCCTGTGCTGAAGGTCAGCAGAGGTGGGAAGGTGCTGCTGGTGTTTCCCAGTGACCCAGTCCCACGAGGGGTTGGTACCTTCTGGTTTCTTGGTGCTTTGAAGCTCTTTGAAGTTCTGTATGTCCAGTACCGTGAGAGCTCCAAGGAAGGAGCTCCCCAACCCAGAGGATGTTCCAGCAGGGAAACAGGGAGACCCTGCCGGGGTAGCTGTGGAGCAGAGGGGACAGCCTGGGATGTGTCAGGTCCATCTGGCTGCTCCAGAGATAGTGCTGGGGTTTGCAGATCCTGCTAGGAGAGAGGGAAACCTGTGACATGCAGCCAGCAGAGCCTCTTCAGACCAGCTCAGGCAGGAAAATGAATCTCTCAAAACATCCAAGGCAGCAGGATCACAGGAATGGCTGTTGGGGGTGTCAGGGCAGGAGCCATCTCTGGCCACTGTCACCTCACAGAAGTCGAGGTGACTTGTCCTCATCTGTGACATTTTCCCTGCCAAAGCGCTTTGCAGCGAGGACAAAGGGAAGGGAGAGCTGACATCCCGTGGGATGGAGGATGGGAGAACAATCCCACAACAAACAATGTCTCATCCTCGGGTCTTTGGGGCCGCCTGTGACTCGGGCTCGCAGCTCCCGCCTGCCTTTGCCTACTCACCCTTCCCACCTGCCCCCACTCCTCCTGAGTCACCCCACACCCTGCTCCTGCTCCCAGAGCTGAGTCAGGCACATCCCCACCTCCCCTGGAGCCTCTCCAGGACGCGGGGACGTGGCCAGGGCTGGTGCTGCTGTGCTCATCACCCGTACTCGATGGCCCCTGAGCAGGGCTGGGCTCTGCCTCCCGCTCCAGACGGGCCCTGATTGTGGGATGAGACATGGTGACACCACTGGTGACATGCAGGAGCCTGCTTGGAGCTTGTGGTGCCTCAGGAGACGTAGAGATGGGTGAGTGCTTCGTGCTGCAGGGTCTGGGGGTGTAGGACTTACAGGAGAGCGGGGTTCTTCCATGGTCTCCCATCACAGATGTCCTTGCAGCTGAACCTGCTGTCACACAGGGGAGCCCAGGTGACAACTTGTGGGTGCTCCTAAGGGTGGGGGACACTGGGCTAGACCACCCTGCAGATTTCAGCAGCTCAGAGGCGAAAGGGTTTGGCTGAGGAAGCTGAGAGTGGACAAAGGGACCGTCCTGCTGCCACCGTCAGATGTCACACACACTGTCCAGGTGTTCCGTCCTCCCTGGGGAGATCCCTGTTGAACTGTCCCCTCCCAGCAGGCAGTGGAAGTGCTCTCCACCACGTGCAAAGGAGCACAGGCTTGGGAGAGGCTCACAATCCCTGCCAGAGGACGACCCTTGCTCCAGACACCATCCCAGCCGCTGGCTCTGCCCGCGGTGCCAGCCCCAAACCCCGCCGTGTCACTCACTGTCCCCTGGCCAGGAGAACAAAGTCCCCTGGCGCTGGCCCAGCAGAGTTCAGAGCCCATGGGAGCAGTGCTGCTGCTGGGAGGTCACACAGCTCTCAGGGTGAGGAATCCCAGGCATGTGAGGCCGCTCTGGGGGTCAGAGGAGCCCTGGTGCTCGCAGGAGCGAGGCCAAATGCTGCCTCTAACCCAGACAGGGAGATGCAAACAATCCCCTCCTCTTGCTGGGAATGAATGGGAGAAAGGAGAGGCAGGATCCTGTGGCCAGGTCCCTGAAAATCCCATCTTTGTGGCCAACAAGGAGAGGTGGTGAGGGATTCACCCCGGAGACCTTCGCCAGGCCGAGCCATGGCACGGCTGTGGATGCTCCTTGCTGTGGATCCCTCAGGCTGCGAAGCTCACAGGTTGGACTTCAGGAGCAATTTCTTCATGGAAAGGGTGGTCAAGCACGGGAAGGGGCTGCCCAGAGAGGTTTGGAGTCCCCATCCTGGAGGTGTCCAAGGAATTTGTGGATGTGGCACTCAGTGCTCAGGCCTGGTGACAAGTGGTGATGGATCCAAGGAGCTGACAATCCTGAATGTCTTTCCCAACATTAATGATTCTGTGTGGAAGGGAGGAAGATCTCCCTCCTCCTCCCCTCTTGGCTCTCTCTGACCAGAAACCAGAGCATGAAAACATTGACCTTGGCCCAGAGCCAGTGGAGAGAGCAGTGACTCTGACCTCCTGTCTTCACTTGAGGTTCCAGGTTGGGATTGTGGTGATGTAATTACCCCGAGCAACTTCCAGCGAAGGTTGGGAGGCCCTATTAATTACTGTTTACAAAACCTTCTGCTGTTCCTGGATGAAAGGGTCGACAGGGGAGAGCAATTATTAATGTTACTTGTCCCACCTCTCCTCCATCCCAACTCTCTTCCTCTAATTGTGCCTTGGTGCCTGCCTAATTTATTAAATGCCCACGTGGTGCACCCCAAAAGTCATTATCTGATGATTCATAGTGAGACAATAAAGAGCTGCAACTTCCTCTATAAAACATGATCCTGCAGTTTAGGTGCTCATCAAAGCTGCTCCAAAAAATCCCAACAGCATTTGCCCAGGGTCCAGAGGGTTCAGTGCTCCCTGCTCCTCAGGGATTTGGGACCCAGCACCTGCACATCTGCTGTACCCCACGGATTCTGGCAGCTCCTGGCACCTTGGCAAGAAAAGCTTCACCTGCATGGCACTGGGAGCCTCCAGCTGCAGATTTAGGGCTGATTTCCTCTGCACCCTCCAGGAGAATGGCAAAGGGATGGCAAAACTCCCTGGGATGACACAGCAGCAAAAGACCTTCAGGAAAGGGAATGTCCAGCACCAAGCACTGCCCTGGCAGAGGTGACAGGGACAAGGGACAGGCTGGCTCCTGCCAGGCAGAAGGCACAGCTTGCTGCAGACAATGGCATTCCCCAAGCTGGGAAGCACAGAGCAGGCAGGATTTCACTGCTCCAGAGCAGACAGGCCTCCACTCTTTGCAGATTACCCTTGTGCCAGGGTTTGGCATCCCAGGGCTCAAGCCCAGGCAGCCCAGAGCAAGGACAGTCCCCCCATGGGAACTCTGCCAGCGCCACCCTCGCTCTCCCGCCCGCCCTGTGCCAGGGCAGTGTTGGCACATTGGCGTGAGATCCCGGTGACAAACCAGGGCCCAGCCTGTCCTGCAGGCAAGGCACAGCAGGGAGGGAGGCAGGAGCTGAGCAGTGACAGGATGCAGCAGCTGGGCAGGAGGAATTGGGCTCAAACGTGGGCAGGTGCCTGAGCTGGCTCCCTCCCCGTGCCCGAGCCACCGCCTGCAGTGTGTGAGCAGGGCTGGGGGTGCCAGGGGGTGCCAGGGCTGCCCACAGCCCTGCACAACTCCCTCACGCCTTCGAGCAGTGAGCCAAGGCCTCAGCACTGCTGGGACCACAGTGGGAAAGCGTTCTTTGCCCTCAAAACCAAGGTCAGCGCTGTTCTCAACCCCATTTCACAAGTGCTCAACTTTTCCTGGGGAAAACACAGCACGCAGGAGAAGTGACATGGGCATGGAGCATCAGGGTCAGAAGCAAATCATTTCCCACCAAATCATTTCCCACCAAACCCTCATCCCCAAACCAAACCCACGCTGTCTCCCCAAGGTGTCCCTTACCCAGGACTCATGGAAGACAGCTCAGCTCCTCCCCAGTTTCTTGCTGAACACGGCAAATGCAAGCCCAGAGCTCCCAGAGTAGCTTTGAACCCGTCCCACCGTGCATCCATGCAAATCCAGCAGCTGGTTCCTGCTTCAGTTTCCCCACCAGGACAACAAGGATGAGCAAAACACACGAGTGGGTGCACAAGGGAGTGAGGATTTGGCTTTTCACAGCAAAGACTCTGGGGTGAGAATAAATGGGAATTCAGTTAAAATCGAGTGGCAAAGCCATAAAGTGCCCTGGCACCCCCCAAAACACCCCTGTGTGGGCAGGGCTGGGGACACCAGGCTGGCATCAGGGACAGCAGGGCTGGGGCTCCCCACACAGCCTTGCTCTTCCCCCCATCGCCTGCAGAAGAGGAAGAGCCAGCAGTGTCATAACAATCCTCTGCTTAATTAAAGCTCTGCACGTCCTGTGGCACAGAACTAATTAAAAGGCAGCTCGGTGCTTTGAGAGCTCTGGACTGGACGTGTCTGAGTGTGCAAGCACCCAGCACCATCCCAGCCCCTTCCTGAGGGAGGCAGAGGCACCCTGGGGTCTCCCTGGGGTCCCCCCGGCTCAGCCACGTGCCATGGCCAGCAGGACCCCTCTGGAAGGGCAAATGGCCAAGGGAACCCCCTGTCCCAGCCCAGGGCACCTTCCAGGAACAGCCACAGGGATGGGAGGAATGCCAGCCATGGGACAATGACAAACCAGCACCCTGATGCCAAACCCTTCCCCTGGGATGAGGGGAGGCAGAAATCCCTGTGGAGCTGCCCTGGGATTGCCTCCAGCCCCTCTGCCTGCCATGAGCTGCTGCTCACTGCCACAGGTGATGCCATCACCAGGAAATCAACAGCCACGGGCACAGGCACACATCCCAGTGACATCCCCAGCGTGGCCCAGATCCATTTTCCTATCAAACCCAGCTGTGGCTGGGAGAGCAGCAAACACCCTGGGTCCAAAGGCAGCTCCAGCTTGTGGATATCAGTGACACTGCCGTGTGACAAACACAGCTGGCACAGCTCAGGGTGCTGGCCCTGCTGTCCTGGCCCTGCTCCTCCCACACAGCCTGGCAGGAAGGAGGGATGCTGTGCAGGAGGAGCAGCAGCCCAGGCTGGGCAGTGAGACCAGGACAGATGGACACACCACTCAGTGGCTGGGCTTGATGATCCTGCAGGTCTTTGTCAACTCCAACAGTCCTGTGACCATTGTGCATCAAAGGTCTTCCCTGCAATGCTGAGAGCAAAGGGACACCAAAATTCTCAGCCACAAACTGGACTCTGAATTTTGTGAAGCCTGTTAAAGGCAGGAAAGTTAGATTCACCCCCAGTAACTGGACAGTAGATCATGCTCTGGATCACCACTGAAGTGGTCAGGGTTGGAAAAAAACATCCACAGACCACCAAATCCAACAATTAACTCAGCACTGCCAGGGCCACCACTAAACCATGTCCCCAGGTGCCACATCTGCCTCTCCTGGAGATCAAACTTTCCACAGTGACAGCAGAGGAATGGGAGGACTTTCAGACTGTCTGGAGCTGGGGGCAATCCTGGGCTCCCCCCAGCCCAAATTCCAGCTTCCTACAGGGAGCACTTTACTTTGCCCCTCACAAAACAAGCTCTGACTGTACCTTGGGTTGTCCCTGGCCACTCTACCTGGACTCATGTCTCCTGTCCCCTCTCCAGGTCATTGCTGTGGTCATGGACATGTTCACTGATGTGGACATCTTCAAGGACCTCCTGGATGCCGGCTTCAAGAGGAAAGTGGGAGTCTACATCATTTTGGATGAGACCAACGTGAAGCACTTCCTGCAGATGTGTGAGCGAGCCCACATGCACGCTGGACACTTGAAGGTAGGGATGACCTGAGGGTCTGGAGCTGGGGAACCTCCTCCAAAAACAGGAGATAATCAGAGTTATCATCCTGCTCCCTCCTGCCTTGGGGAGTCACAGCCCCCAGCTGTGAAGAGTTTAGTCCATTTTTCCTGTAGCCAAAGCTGGAGGTGATGGAGCAGCATGGAGGTGTGGATGAGAGGATGGGATGAGGATTTACACCCAGCAAATCCAGGAGCAGCATGGAGGGGTGGCTGAGATGATGGGATGTGGATTTACACCCAGCAAAGCTGGAGCAGCATGGAGGGGTGGCTGGGAGGATGGGATGTGGATTGCACCCAGCAAAGCTGGAGCAGCATGGAGGGGTGGGTGAGAGGATGGGATGTGGATTGCACCCAGCAAAGCTGGAGCAGAAAGCCCAGGGGGCTGCTGGTACCCAGCCAGGGCTGAGGCAGAGGAGAGGCTGAGGGGAGCAGCCCTACAAGGGTGAGCACAGCAAAGCCCAGGGCAAAGCTGCAAGCTCAGCTCCTCCCGAGGGAGAGGGAGCAGCAGGTGCTGTGCCAGGGCTGGGTCTGTGCTGTCACCAGCTCCCTGCCTGCTGCTGCCCCGGGGGCAGGACCGGCAGCAGCCACCGCAAGTCAGAGGCTGGAATTAAAAACTCGATTTTCCCCTTTTCCGGAGCCTCCGCCCCAGCACGGGGCCGGGAGCAGAGCAGGGAGGCTCCCACACTGCCCGAGGCCCTGGCAGCTGCCAAGGATGCCCTCGCTGTGCTGGGCAGTGCCCGCTGGAGGGACTGATGTGCCCGGCCATGGATGCACATGGAATCACTCCTGTGCAGGAATCCATGGCAAAGCAGGGAAGGCAGAGCACAAGGGAGGGAGGCCTGTCAGGGCAGGGGTCGGTTGGATGGGGCTTGGAGCAACCTGGTCTAGTTTAAAGTGTCCCTGCCCCTGGCAGGGGGTTGGAATGAGATTTAAGGTCCCTTCCAACCCAAGCAATTCTGGGATTCCCCTTCCACGTCCCTGTGTGAGCAGGGGGTGCAGAGAAAATCTCCTGGCACAGAGCTCATGCAAAGGCAGAAGAAGGGGCAGAGGAGAGGACAGGGGTCATTTCAGCCAGAGCAGGGACCCCCAGTCCAACCACAGCACAGCCCCAGGCTCTGCCCTGGGCACAGCCCCCCCATCCCAGCATGGGATGCAAACACACCAGAGCAGCCCCACTGGGGGCTTGCAGACCCCCACTCCTGGCCACCACGGCTGGGCCTCGCCTGTTGCTTGGCAGAAAAGCCAAGCTGCTGCTCCTGACGTCAGCCGGCTGCCAAATGCCCGCCGGGAGAGCCCGTGCCCGGGCAAGCTCCCCAAATTTGCTTAGGGTGAGAGCCAACCCCTGGCTGAGCAGGAACACGTAGGAGCCACGACACCCTCACAGCTGGCTGGCACGAGGTGGGGGAGCTGGGGCTCAGGGACCCCCAAAGCCTCACACCTTCCCCAGCTGCCCTGCCCGCCGGCCTGGCTTAATTGCCGCTCCCAACAATTAAAGCAAACACAGCGCAGCTTTTCCCTGAGCCCAAACTCCCTGGAGAGCCCGGGATCCCGCAGGCTGCTGCTGCTTCAAGACCAGAAAAGCCAGCGCTGACGCACTCCGGTGTTTTCCTGCATTAGCAGCCCGGTGGCAGGACTGGAAAAGCAGGAGAACATCTGCAGAGCTCTGCAAATGTCTAGAAGTTGGGATTTGCCACGTATTGCAGCCAATTCGCTGGCACGGGACGCGGGAGGAGGTGAGGAAAGTAGGGCAGAGTCTGGGAGCTGCTTCTTGAGGCAGGAGATGTTAACGAAACGTCCCCTCGTTATCTCGGTGGCAATTAGCAACCGGCTTGGGCAAGGCTGGCGCTGCTTGAGCAAGGGCTCAGTGATTCACCCTGGCCGGCTCCTCGGCCGTCCCGCTGCCTCGGAGGGATCAAAGCAGCAGATTTCACTCAACAGCAGTGATAGGAGGAGGAAAAGGGATCAGCACCGGGAGAGTTGTTGCCTGAAAAACACCCAGAGCTGCTGCTTGGCTTTGGGCGAAGGGGCAGCTCCGGGTGGTGACGGGCAGAGGGTGAAGCCTTGGGTGTCACAGCTCCCTCAGCAGCCCCATAACAGGGACAGGGGTGGGCATTGCCATCCCAGCCCCTCAGTGCAGAAAATTAGGATGCTCAGCACCAGTTTTGTCCCAGCCACAGCAGGCTAAAAGCGTTTTCTTAGCATTTTCGCTAAGTAAAACATGAAACTCACAAAAAACTTCCCCCCAAAGCTTGTCTGTTCAGTGAGTGGAACTTCCCTGGAAATTCAGACAGGAAAGCTGTTGCTTGCACATCATCTGCACTGAGTTTTCCTGCCAGGGATGGGGGAACAGGGACTAGGGGTGCACCTTAGTGTGTGCCTGGTCATGGTCTCCAGGGACACAGGAGAGCCCAGGGAAGCAGATGAGAAAGGCTGGAGGAGGGGAAGACAAATATTTTTGATGCTTTTCTTTAAAAAACAAAACAAAACACACAATAAAACAGGCATGGAGGGCATGACCCAGTGATGACACAGAGCCTTTTGCAACAGCCTTACCAACATCCCAGCAGGAACAGGAGGAATGCAGACGCTTTCTCAAGGAAATATTTTCTCCCCACCCAAAAGGAGCCCGTGGGAGATGCTATCTGCTCTCCTGTGGAATGTGCCAGTGCCCTCCATGGAGATAACAGAGACAGGAGCCAGGCTGGGGATAAAAAAAAAGAACAAAAAACATTTTCACAGAGCCAGGGCTGCCCCTGCATCACTGGGTTCCCTGGGGAGGACACCCAGCTCCACTCCAGGGACCTGCTCCCACATCACCAGGTTTCATTTCCCGAGGGTGAAAAGATGTTTCCCCACCAGCCCCTAAAAGCAGGATTAGATGCCCAAATTTAGGAGCACAGCAAAGCAGGAGCGTGGGCAAGGACAAACCCATTGCCAGCAGGTCCAAGTGGGCTGTCCTGGGGTCTCCACCTCCCCCTAAAACCCCTGCAGATCTCCTGCTGGGAGCAGGTGTGCAACCTCCTCTCCCACGGTGGCATTTGCATGGATTGCAGGAGCTGGGGAGCGCTGGGCAGCGCCAGCACACAGCACTCACCCACGGACACCGAGTTCAGGAGGTGGCAAACACAGCCTGGCAACGCAGGAAACTCTGAAGCCAAGCCCATGGTGGCCTTGGGCGAGTTAATTCATCTCTGTGGCCTCCTCTGAGCTGGCCATGAAGAACATTGCACTGCTCAGAGGGGCTGTGGAGCACCCAGAGGGGCTGTGGAGAATCCAGAGGGGCTGTGGAGCACCCAGAGGGGCTGTGGAGCATCTCAAGCGGTGTTCCTGGAGGGTGGGTGCTGGTGTCACCCAGCTCTTCCCTCCTGCCCTTGACGCCTGTGCCTTTGCTCCTCTGCAGAACCTGCGCGTCCGCAGCACCGGGGGCACCGAGTTCTTCACCCGCTCGGCCACCAAGTTCAAGGGGGCTTTGGCCCAGAAGTTCATGTTCGTGGACGGGGATCGAGCCATGTGTGGCTCCTACAGGTACAGCAGTGGCATCTCCTCTTGCCCACCCCACAGAGGTGTTGCTCAAAGGATCCATGTTTCAACCCTCGTGGTCCCAGGAGCCCGTGCCAGACTTGCTCTGCTCATCCTAAACCGGGAGGAGATTTCCCAAGGAGATTTGGGGTGGGCTCTAAGGGGTTCCCAATACTTACACACCAGGTCTTGGACACCCACCCTTCTTGGAGGTGGTGGGACACAGCAAGTGCTTCTGTGCTGATGAGCGCAGGAAGGACCAGAGCATCAAACCACAGCCAGTCCCAACTCTCACACCAAGCTCAGCTTTCCAGTCAATTTCCTACACAAAGTATTTTTCAGTTTGTTCAAAGGAAAACTTACTTAGGTAGAAACCGACCAGCCCTGGTCAGGTTTCAGGTCTAAAAGACAAGTTTTATAAACATGGAGCTGGAACATTTCCTCTTTTCTGGCCATAACAAATAACACATCCACTTACGAGTCACTTCTCTTAACCCAAACCGAGACAGGAAAAGCAGCCAACACTAAGGCAAAAAACTGACCCACTGCAAATTCCTTTTATTTTTACTTCAAGTGCTCAAGACTTCAACCCTTCACTCTAATTTGGGATGGGAGCTCTTTTGTCACTTCCATTATTATGTTTACAGTGAGATCATGTCCCTGCTGACACCACCAGTCCCCGGGGAAGGCCGGGCCAGGGGAGAGGTGTTATTTACCAGCTGAGATCTCCGATGTGTTTCTGTTCCAGCTTCACCTGGTCCGCGGCGAGGACGGACCGGAACGTCATCACGGTGCTCTCGGGCCAGGTGGTGGAGGCGTTTGACAAGCAGTTCCAGGAGCTCTACCTCATGTCCAAGGGGGTGAGCCTCAAGTCCATCTCCATGGGCGAAGAGCCCGAACCCGAGCCCGTAACGCTGCCCTCCGTGGTGCCGGTGACCCCCGCCAACGCCGTGGTGAAGAAGCTGATAAACCCCAAATACGCCCTGGTGAAGGCCAAGAGCGCCGACCAGATCAGCAAGACCTCATCTGAGAACCAGGACAAAAACCAGAAGAGCGACAACAAAGGCAAAACGCCTCCCGAGGGCCAGGGGGGCGAGCGGCACGGGGACGTGGCCGACCTCTCCCCGCTCATCCACCCCGGCCTCCTGAACCTGGAGAAAGCCAACATGTTTGACTACCTGCCCACCTGGGTGGAGCCTGACCCCGAGCCTGGGAGCGAAGTTCTGGGCTACATCAACATCATCGACCCCAAGGTGAAGAACGTGAAGCTGTCACAGATGAACCGCATCAAGGTCTGCGACGTGTCCCAGGCCAGCGCCCAGCACCGGCAGATGCTGAAGAACAGGGAGATGGAGGCCAGGAAGAACTCGGAGCAGGAGCTGCCTCTGCTGTCCCCCAGCCACAGACAGATCCCACAGCCCCCCATGGAAGCTCCTGCAGCCCCAACGAGCACCCCCATGGAGGGTGTCAGCTGGACAACGAGGCAAGTGGGGACGTTTGCCTCTTCGCCGTTGGGCCACCACGTGAAGCCACAGGAGGAGGCGCTGGAGGATGTCAAGCCTCCAGTTCCAAAGCCAAGGACCGTCCCTGTCGGTGTCCTCATGACCAAAGTCACTACAACGTGTGACAGCAGCACTGCCCCGCAGGGTGACACACAGCCAGCGCTGCCTGACCACATGGGCGCCAAGCAGGAGCGGGAGAATCCCGGCCGAGCTCCCAGGGAGACCGGCCGTGCCCAGCCTGAGCGGCCAGCAGCAGCTCCACAGGAGGGAAAAGGGCCTCCCTGCGCCCACAACGGGCTGGGAGAAGAGGAGGAGGAGGAGGAAGAGGAGTACATCACCCTCAGTGACCAGGAGAGCTACTCCAGCAGCTCTGCTGACCACAGCTACCGCCGCTCCAACGCCTCCTCCATCTCAGACGAGTACTTCGAGGTGAGGGATCGCTACGGGCCCCTCCGGAGAACCAACTCGGACATCACCCACAACGGGGAGATCCTCCCCATGCAGAGGAAGCTCAGCGACCCTCATATCAGCCGGGGCACCTTCATCAGCCCCCTGGGCAGCCTCCCCTCCCTGAAGCACATGCGCTTGGAGGACGTGACGAAGAGGAGGAGCAACGCCGTGGAGATCAGGCCCATGCTGCCCCGCGCCATCCTGGATGGGAACAGCTCCTACCCCAGCAGCGCTGCCCAGGTAGGACTTTTCGCTAGGACTTTTGTTTCTCCACCCTACAAAGGTTTGTGAACCTGGAGGTGACCCAGTCAGCTCAACCGAGGTGTGATGTCATCCTGAGTTTTTTGGTGTCATCCCGACCTCTGGTGTTGTCCTAGATGCTGAGATCAGACTCCCATAAAGGAGAACAACACCCTGCACGTGGCCATGGTCACCCGAGAGGTGACCAAAGGCGTGGCGGCCGTGCCACAGCTCCTGGTGTCCAGCAGTGGGGATGGCTGTTAAAGGGAAGGGTTTTGGTAATTAAAGATGATCCCACAGCACTGGGCTGGGGGTGGAGCTCCAGGCACAGCTGTACAGATGTGCTGGGGCTCCCTGAGCTCCATCCACAGCCCATCACGCCCAGCTGGGGACAGACTGTGCACGCAGGCGTGTCCTTCTCAGGCTTGTTTTCCAGCGCCTTGCCAGGGTGATTAGCATCAAAGGGAAAGCTCTGGACACATAATTAGGCAGAGCAAGACAGCGGAGAAACAGGGACAGCAACCTCCGTGGGCGAGTGCCACCGTCAGCAGCTTTGTGGCCGCCCCACGAGCGACGCCAGGCCCTGTCACCGCGCGGGGCCAGCGCCCTGCTGCAGCTCCGTGGGGAGCAGGCCAGGACCCCGCTGCTGGGGGCTCACAGCAGCATCCCCACCAGGGCCACAGCATCGTCCCACCCAGGGGGGATGGCACTGCCATCCCCAGATTCCCACCCAAGCTCTGCAACCTCCTGCGCCTCTGCCAAGCATTCCGGCTTCTCAAGGCTCCCCGCCCGCTGTTTTTGGGGCATTCAAACCCCCAGGGCAAAAGCAGCAGCTGAAATCACTGAAACTGCCTGAGGTTACCCCAGCTGAGCATCTAATCTGTATTTACAGGGAATTATATGTACCATCCCAGAGTCCACTTGCTTCTCCCTTCCCAGCCAGCGACAGGGAGCTCAGAGCTTTAATCCTGGCACATCAAATACCCCTGAGCCCTGCAGGGCAAGGAGCACCGAGCTCTTTGATGCTCTGTGACCCAGGTCCCAGGTGCCACCTCGCTGGGGACGGCTGGGTACGCTGCTGTTCCTGCAGCAACTTGTTCTGGCCCTTTGATGAGAGGCAGATAATTAGCACAGCATCGGGGTTAGGAAAGCCAGCACTCAGTGGAGAGGTGCAGGGAAGAGCTTCTCCCATGTGTAAAAAGAATAAATTGAAGCAACCCTTGATTAACTCTTGAAAACTCAAATTTGACAGAAATCACTACCAATTCTCCCAAATATATATATATATACACATATATTTTTTCCCCTGGGTCCGTGTTCCTCAGGTGCTGGCCCATTGCCCAGCATAGCCCAAAACACAGGTGGAGGCTCACTCAGGGCAAACATCATGTTTTCCATGTCATGGAAACCAAATTCTCTCTGGAAATCACCTTCCCTGAATACACAACCCCATTCACAGCTGGATGCCCAGCAGCCTCGAGGAGGAGGAGGAGGAGGAGGAGGAGGGACACCTGGGTCCTGTCCTGCCCCATCCCACCTGCAGAGCCCCCAGGTCTGCGCAGAGCTGAGCTTTCCAGACAAGCCCACTCACCCCTCAGTGACAGGGAAAACCCCACCCCAGCAGTTCCACAGCCACATGGGGGGCCTTACCTGGGTGCAGGACCCTGCTGACCATCCCTGGCAGATGGTGAGGAACAGGGGCAGCACCTTCAGCTCTGGCCAGGATGGAGCCGTGGCGTGGCTCAGGTTTTTAGCAGAGAGTGACCTGTGGAGAGCCAGGCAGGAGGGCTGAGCAGCACCAGCATCTACTCCACATCAGCCTCTTCCTTGCCAAACTGCATCCCAAGTGCTGGAGCCACTGGGCACGGGGCCCAAATGCAGAGTGGGCATGCACCCAACCCACAGTGGGGTTTCTCTCCAGACCAGTAACGGGTTGGGGTTACACCATAGCACCAGAAAAGCCCAGTGCAAGCACAGCAGCACATCCTCCAGGCAGGAGCCACCATTCCCCACCACCTTCCCACCCCTCTTGCCCCTTCTAGCCAATCCTCTCCCCAAAGAGTGCCCACAATGACATGGAAACTGAGTCCAGCCTCCTCCTCCTCCCACAGCCCCACTCAAACCATCACACCTCAAAGCTCTGCCAAGCTGTGTCCATCCACAACACAGCCACCCCTCCTAAACAGCAACATCTGCAGGAATTGCTGATTTCACAGAGCTCAGAGTCTCTCCAAAGGCTCCCAGAGGAGTGCTCAGCACCCAGCAGGATTCAGGCTCTCCTGGGCAAGCACTGCCTCATTCTGCTGGTGGGCAGGAGGGACAGGGTGCTGGTTTCTGGGGTGGATACTTGGTTTAAGCCATGGTTTAACTTCTTCCCAAGAGCCAGAGCATGTCAGGAGCCACAGGAGCCACCACCCAGCTCACCAGTATGATGAGTTCACAGGGAGAAAAGCTAAGTCAGCCTTAATCCTTCTCACCTGAAGCCATCTCAGACCTTAACACTGATTTTAAGCACCTAATTAAATCAATCTCGGACTACCTGAGCTAAACTGCTTTAACACAACCCTCCTGGTCAAAGCAGGAGGTGTCAGCTCCAGGGTCAGGGAGGCCTTTGGGACTCAGGGACTGCCTGCCAGCAGCAGCAGCACGGGGAGGGTCACGGCAGAGGCAGGGCAGGTTGGCACAGCCAGATCTCAGCAGACCCCACCTCCCCTGGTGGCTCTGCACAGGTGCAATTGCACCTCCAGATCGTGGCACGGGCACACCCAAAGGGGAGATAAACACCTGGTGGCCACAGCCACGTGTGACAACCGTACCCAGTGAGAATTAGGATGAGCCAAACGTGTGTCTCAACCCAGTCAACAAGAGCCACCCCCACGCTGGTGTTGCAGCTCCTGCTCCTCTGCCAGCCCTCCATGCTTTCCTCTGATCCTGGCACTCACCTGGAGCCAGGCTGGCTCAGGATGGCTGAATGCTCCTCAGGGCTGGTGTGAATACCATGGGTGCTGCTGCAGAGAAGGTGTTGAGGTGCCTTGTCCTGGATCTCCAGGCAGGAGGGGCTTGGCTCGGGACAGCCCCCAGACTGCCAGGGCTGCTCGGGAAGTGCCAGTGTCTGCTACCAGAGCCAGGAATCGGACGAGCAGCCAGGGTTAATTCTTGAGGCGGTTTCACCACTGAATTTGGGCGAGGGACAGAGGGATTTGTCCACGAGGACACCTGGCATGGGTGAAGAGGTGGCCTCACAGCAGCCAGAGCTCACTGTGTCTCTGCTCTTTCCCAAACAGGGCGCTCACATCTACCGCTACCAGCCCAGGGGCAGAGAGCCGGGCCAGGAGCTCTCCTGCTCCCCGACGCACGAGAAGCCCCTCAGGGCCACCAAGTACAGAGGGGAGGGAGCAGAACCCAAAAAGACCATCGCAGGCAGCCAGCCCTACTGGCAGAGCAAAACCTTCAGCCCCAGCAAGGCCACGGCACCCGGGCAGCTGCCCCCAAACGCGCCGGGCAAACGCTTCAGCTCCCTGCAGGAGAGCCAGAAGGCAGCTGAGGAGATGAGGACACCCCTGGGCATCCCCCTCTCCAAGCTCTCCCAGTCCAAGCACCTCAAGAACAAGGTTGCAGGGGTGCAGGGCGCTTCTGTGGACTGCAAAAAGCCACCCCCTGAGCCCACGGGCCAGAAGGAGCAGTAGGGGCTGGTGGTGGTGGCCTTGCAGAGCTGGGGGAGCCCAGGCTCCTTCCCTGGGGCAGGGGGTTCTTGTTTACATTTGCCAGCAGCACGTGGCCACGATGGACAGCCCAAAATCATCCCTGTCCAGGGCAGAGCTCCAGAGATCAGGTCTCGGAAGGGGTGCATGGCATCCGCCCTGGCAGGTGGCAGAGTGTTGGGAATAATCTCTGGCACAGCCTTTAAATTGGTCTCTTCCAGGCTGGGGTGATCTCTGACCTGGTTAAAAGCTGGGAAGCATCGTTGGGGCAGCTGGTACCCAGCAGTCTGTGGGATCAGCTGGTAAAAGCCAGCCAGCTCCTCATCCCAGAATGCTGCCTGGAAAAGGAGGGATCATCCATGATCGTGTTTTCTTCTGGTTATTTAAGAGACTCTTCTGTTACCATTTTGCACAGCAGGTCCCACTGCAGCCTGCCCTCCCTTTGGAGGGTGACCCGTGTCCTGGGACAAAGACTCCTCAAGGGACTCACCTCTTTTAAACTTGTACTGTAAAAAAGCAACCTGTTCATTAAAGCTCCCCTGTCCCACGGCAGGAGAACCTCGCCTAAAACTATTAAAATGCAAGATTAGGTGACCTTGGACTCAATAAACTGCAGCTCAAGGTGCCTTGGCACAAATGTCCAGCCAAATATTTTCTACCCCCCTGAGCATTTCCCCAGCACCCCCATGTGCTCCCATCCCCAAACCTCCAGCAACCAGTAAAAAAAATAAGAAAAGAAGCCCCTTTTCACTGCATTTGTCCTAGGAAATGGGAGCCAAGGTCTGAGCCTGAGCCCTGACAAGGAATATGTGCCATGAACAAGCCCTCACAAGCAAGCCCTGAGCCCTTGGCAGCTGCCCTGAGCTCCTGTCAGCGCTGCCAGCCAGCCCTGGGCTCTGCTGGCTCCCCACTGCCCCCCTGTTCCTGGGGGCACGGGCTGAACCCTCCTTGCAGCTCCCCCGGTACCTCCAGCAGGAGAATTTTGGAGCCACAGGCATCACTTTTTGGAGGGAGGGACCCACTCTGCTCCCCCCACACTCACCCACGCAGGGAGGGGCATTGGCACCCCCAAACCCAGGGGAGGGGAGAGGAGAGGAGAGGGAAGAGACAAAGCAAGAGCCAGGAGCATCCCTTGGTGCATTCCCCACAGCTGGTCCTGCTGTCTCCTCCCGGATCTCTTCCATCCCTGCAGAGCTCTGCTCCCCTCCAGAGCAGCAGGATGAGGTGGGAATGTGCTCCTGGGCAATCTCCCTCCCACGGGACCCTCCCCACGAGCGCTGCTGTCCTTAGACCAAGTGCAAATCCCTCAGACACCAGGCACTGGGATCACCACCCAGTCCAGCTTCAGCAAATCCCAATTCCCAAGCCTTCCTCCTCTTCCACTGTCCCCTCCAGCCTGGAGCAGCTCTCCCCTCTCCACCGCCTGTCCCCCCAGATCATCCCCCTGGCCTGAGCCTTTGGGGAGCTGCCAGAGGGGCATCACCCACCGTGTTCCCAGTGCATGCCCCCGTGTTTCACAGGAGTCAGCAGCCGGGAGCTCCTCCTGCTCTTGCACAAGCAGCCCTGGCCCCATTCCAGGCCTTGGTTTATCCAGGCGCCGGCTGCTCCCAGGCTCTGCATGGGCGTTGGGCACCAACAAAGGCTCTCCAGAGGCACAGAGCGGAGTGCTGAAAGCAGAGATTTGTGCCTGGGGCTGCAGACCTGCTCCCTTCCCAAAGGAGTTCCCCAGCAAGTCACAGCACCCACGCCTGCCAAGGAGGAAGAGCAGGGAGAAGCCCTGCAGGCAGCAGGAGCTCCCTGGCAGAGGCTGGGGTGCAGCACAAGGGTTAAATCCCCGTGCTGGATGGCAGGAGGGATTTAACCCCAGGAGGGATGGCCCCAGTCTGCCTCACCTGTGATGCCAGATGCAGCACAAGGGTTAAATCCCCGGGCTGGATGGCAGGAGGGGTGGGATGGCCCCAGTCTGCCTCACCTGTGATGCCAGAGCTGGGCAGAGCCACCACCAAGGTGTGTGTTCAGCAAAGGGGGTTTAAACTGGCAGAGGGCAGGGATGGATGGGATTTTGGGAAGGAATTATTGCCTGTGAGGCCCTGGCATAGATTCCCAGAGAAGCTGTGGCTGCCCCTGGATCCCTGGAAGTGTCCAAGGCCAGGTTGGACAGGGCTTGGAGCACCCTGGGACAGTGAAAGGTGTCCCTGCCGTGGCAGGGAGTGGAATGAGATGAGATTTAAGGTCCCAATTCATTCTGGGATTTTACTGAGTGTCCTTCATCAGCTGAGCCTGACAGGAGCTGGGGCAAACCAAGCACCCTTGGGGCACACCCACCTCCAGTCCTGAGGCCTCCTGAGAGCTGGGGAGAAACCTGTGCAACCAGCAGCTTGTCTTCTGGCTGTGCTGCGTCCTCCCCTCTGCCGAGCGCCCGCAGCTCCTGCAAACAGCCTTCACGGGCAGCACAGCCAAAACAAACCGGGCTCTGCAGCTCCCCCCGGGGATTTTCCAGGCTTTGCCTACCTGCCCTCCTCCTCTGGCTGCTCTGCACCTGGCAGAGACAACCCCCAGAGAGCCCCACGGCCAAGGACAGCTCCCAACAATTCCGGCATCCAGGCACCGCGGCCACTGCTCGGATCTGCCCCGGCAGGCAAGGTCCTGCTGTGCCTGGAGCAGCTCTGTGCTGCTCTTGGGGTGGTTAAACACCACTGTCCCTTCTCCAGAAAGTCCCTGTCCTTTCATCTGGCTTTTGCAAGCACGCCTTGCTGCGCCCAGGGCTCTGCTTTGGCACCGGGGCTGGGCTGGGGCAGCTCCCACCTCCACAGCTCTGGGGCAGAGCCTTCCCCAGGAGATGCTGGAAATCATCTCAGGAGAGCTTCCAGAAGTCATCCTCTGTAGTTAAACACCTGCCTTTGAAGCTGGGACCTGACTTTTTGCTTCCTGCTCCTCAGAGCCAGGCTGATGGAAGCTCCCGGGCTCCCAAGGATGCTCTGAGGCAGAAAAAGGGGAGACACAACCGTGCTGGGGGTTCAGGAAGGGCTGGTGATGAATGCAGGAGCCACATCCAGCCCTGCAGCACTGCCTTGTTCCTCCTGCCAGGCACCTCCCTGGGCTCTGGGATCCTCTCTGCATCCACCAAAACTCCTGGAGCAGAGCTGGGAATTCTGCTTTGTGTCCAAGCCCTGCTCAGTGGCAGAGTGAGACACAAACCTGTGCACCAGAGGTGTCAGCAGGGCAGGGACAGCCCCACATGGAGCACCAGGGGGATCTTTCCCAGCCCCTGCCCTGCTGGAATGGCACGGGGGACACAGAGGCACCACAGATTTTATTTTGGGTGTGTTTGCTGGGCATCTTGGCCACCAGATTGCTCAGACTGAATATTTCTTCCCTCCTGGGGAAGGGGGGTCCCTGTGAATGGATCTGTGCTGGCCCAGCCCTCACCTTTCACTGCAGCACCATGAGCAGTGTCTGCAGCGTGCAGGTGCCAGCTGCCAGCCCCCTGCACGGGACAAAGGCACAGTGATGGAACACAGCTGGATCTGGGCCTGGAGCAGTCAGAAAACCCCAGAAAAAAACTGCCAGGCTTGCAGGGACACGCCTGTCACCTGCCTTGTCCTGCTGGCACTGCTGAGGGAGCTGCAGTGGGCAGGGGGAGCAGCTCCTCGTGGCTCTGGAGCCCAGGGGGGACAGCAGCCCAAGGGTGGGGTGGCAGGGAGCAGCTGAGAGCCACAGGGGCTGCAGCCCCACCAGGGGCTTGGGAGGGGAGCCAGGGGCAGGCTGGAGGGGAGGGGTGCAGCCCCACAGCTCCACACAATCAGCCCCAGATGACATCCAGGACATTGAGCTCACCTCTATCCCACCTCTCCCCAAATCTCCCCTTAGTGCAGCCTCAGCTCTCCTGCCAGCCCTACAGTTTTATTTTTCCTGCTTAGCAGGGTCCCCTGTGGCCATCCTTTGTCCCTTTCCATCCCAAGCTCTCCCTCTGGACCTGCTGCAAATCCCAGCCAGAATCCATCACTCAGCACACCAGCAAAAGCATCCAAAAGTAGCAGAATTTAAAAAAATTAGTCGAAAATGGAAGCAGCAGTCAGTGACTCACATGCAGGGAAGTCAGGGCTGCAGCATCCCCAGCCTGCCTGGGGTTTGCAGGGATGCTCAGGGTGATGCAATGGTCACACCTGGCTGAGCTCACACCTGGCTGCCTCACATCACAACAGACCTTGTGGGCAGGGAAAACCCCAGATGGGGTTGGCCTGAGACCAAAGCCTTGCCAAATCCAGGGTGTTGTGGATGCATTTGGAGTTGTTTCCCCTTTGGATGGCTAGGATGAGATAAGGAGGGAGGATTCAGTGCTGGTGTCTCCACTGGCACTGCCAGGGCAGGGAAGGTCCAGCCAAAAGAATAAAACCCAAAGGGCTGGCAGGGGTACACAGTGCCATGGGCTGGGAGTGGGGCTGGCAGCCAGGAACCCACAATTTCCAACTCCAGCTCCAGATCACAGAAACACCTGTGGGCTGACCCTGCACAAAAACCAGCCGGTCCCCCAGCAGGGAAACAGGGCCAAGAAATATTCCTGAAAGCTTTGGGAAGGGAGGGCAGCAGGCTGCACTGAGGGCAGGCCCAGAGGGAGGGAAAGGAGCTGTCAGGTTGTAGATTCCACAATAATAATCCTGTAACAGGAGAAGCCCAGATCATTGCTGGTACAAATAGGTACACACACAGGAAAGTGCTTAAGAGGGGTGGGGGAGGAGTTATTACAAATAAAAAGGTGCAGTGACAAAGGAAATTGTGGGCTGAGTCACCACCTGCTGCAGAAAGCTGATCAGGTACTGGCTGGATGGGACACGAAGCCCACTGGTATAACCCCCTAAAAGCCACAAAGAACAACAATCAAACAAAAGCAGAAGGGTAAAGGGGTGTGTTTCAATGAAAGACAAAAACTGGAGGCCAGCAGGTGCTGAGCAGCTCACCTGGGCTGGTGCAGAGCCCCCGAGCAG